TTCTGTTCTACTTTTTAAATTTCACAAATTCCTATAAGTACTTTTCCTTACACTGTAATGGTGTAAGACCAACTGAAGTCATATACGACTTGGTTATCGGCAACGTCGCACTGCTACCTTGTTTCTAGACACTTATGAGGACAATCTGGAGGTCGGCCCTAACCCCTTATTGATTAAAATCGCAGTGCATAAGCCCCATCTCTGAGTTATGACGCACAGATGCTCTTCTGTACGTCAACTCGAAGGTGTCATTGGAGCAAAATAAATCTTCTTTATACATGTGTGTTCGTGTGATCATCATCTTGAGCCGCGTGTTGAAGCAGAACGTTTATGGTTTATAGTATTTGTTGCATTCGCAGCTTTACAATAATTTTGCTACAAGACACCCGTTACTATATCGTAGAAGGACCTATTCATTTCTGGAAGCAGATGTGATTCTCCCTTAATCTTCCATGTGGCATGCTTACCTCCATGCCGATGTAAACTGTTTCGATTTCCACATGAGAGCCTCACTGACTGGAATAAATCACTTATGGTCAGAAAGTTTTATCAACAGGGAGAACTTCATTTTCTTCATCTTCTCGTTGTCTGTGCACAGCTGTGCCCGGAATAGCATGTGGCCGTTTGCTACGAGGTCCTATCAATCCTCTTTCTTGATCTTTCTTTGCAACCTCTCGATTCGTAATGTTTATTAATCCAAAAGCATTAAATACAATTATGTTGCTTTGCATTCTGCAAAGGATTTAAATACCACAGAGTTATGGATTGCCTGGAAAGTCACCTATGTCGCTACAAAGAAGGGTATGGTGTGAATATGCCGTGAAATGCGATCAATCGACAGGAGACTGTTATAGTGTCATCGATGATATGAGTAACGGGTATGCTATAATGTTTGGGAATGACAGGATCTCTTATGCCGCTTAAAATGCTTCCATTAATTAAGCATAAACTTTGGTCTCTGGCTGTCTCCATTTCTAAGCTGAACATAATATGATAATAGATTAGTAAGACGAATGAATCCCACTAAAGATGCTCCCTGAATGATAGCATGAAACTTAGTTAAAGGACTATCTCTCGTGCTGTTTGAATATCAAAGAAGTGGGTTGAAGGGGGTGGGGGGGGATCTGGGCGTAACTAATTTGAACTTTGTCTATTTTTGCGGAAAAATACTTATACACTTTTATCTTATCCATTAAGAACGATTCGCCCCTCATTATCTTCTAATTTTTAATCGCCTATCACATGGATTGAGACGGATTGCAGTCGCGAAGTGCACTGAATCACGAGTCAGTAAATCGCTCACCCGTGCTCTGTCATGACCGAGGCATGGCATCGCGTTGTCCGCATGATTCTCAGGTTAGCAGCTTGCTAGCCGTTCTTAGCTGGTTGCATCAAAGCTAAGCGAGGAGAATTTTTTTGCAAAATGGAGTTAACAATTAAAAGCAAAATCTGGCGTTTGGGATTCGAACCCACTACGTCTGAAATCTCAGGCAAACTAAATTTGATGCATGTACGCAACACAGCACATCCACCTTTGCACGGTGCGCTTATTTAAATTGAATACTATATGTTCAACTTCTAGAAACGTATTTAATTTGCATATAGGCTTTTATATAGTAAGCACGAATGAACCTCGCTGTTCTACTCCTCTCAAAGAACACATCTTCCTTTTGGTTTTTGTATCGGTTAAGCTCTAGATACAGGTACCGGGTTCATTCATATGGAATACGTTGCCTTCTTTAATAATATCAACACTTCTGTTGTACCCTGTCTCATTAGTCA